AAAAGTGTGAGTTATTAAAGAAGGAGGCATATCGCCTCCCATACATACTAAAAATTTCTTAATACATACCTCTGGAAGGACAGAAAATCTCTGGAAGTATTTTAAATTTGTTATGGAGATTTATTTTATAAGTGCCGTAATGACAGAAAAAACTTCATTTAATGGAAAAGGGAGAGCCGGGTTTGGCCTTATAACGTAAAGCTGCCATGATGCATACATATATACCTCCTGAGGTATTTGCTACAGTAATGAGGCCAGGTTACTAAATTTGAGTTGGAAATATTAGAACCCGCCGTGGCACCTCCAAGAAGGTTACACGTTCACGCGGCGTATCCCTGGAACCATTTTAAGGTAAACTTAGAGGTATTGATATCTTTCGTATGACTAGCGCGCAGACGAGATTTTATAATTTCAAAGTTTTAAACGGCTTAAATACCTTAACTCTCTTAAAAAATAACGAGCTATAACAAAATGGGCACAGAAATAAAATATAACATTATTAGGTTATTTTTCATATTTGTATAAAAACGTGGCGTGAAACCCGCGGGTATAAGCTAGTATTGATATAAAATAAAAATCATTGAAATTGGCCCAGTCTTTTAAGACTTTTCGGATTAGAAAAGTCTTTCAATTTTATATACTTAACACAGTCCGATATTAAAAATTTTCTCTGAAATAAGGCTAGCAGTTTCGCCAAATTTATAAAAATATAAACTTATATGTACATTAGACTGCATTTTAAGACATCCACCAAAATATTTCGGAAAAGTATTAATGGGTCGATTACGAAAAGAAACGCAACCACGGCTGGCAACGCAACTGGAAAGAAAATTTTTATTACGAATGGCAACTATCGTCAGTTGCTGTAGAGTTATCGATAATCGAAATTTGACATGTTCGACAGCCAGCTAGTGACTGTAAACAAGCTGTGCCAGTAAAATTAATATTTGGAAATTGTAACTCAGTTAAATTGATAAAGTAAATGAAATATTGCCCTGTGGGTGTCAAACTAAAGAGTTTTAAAAAGGCTTACGTTTGAAAATATTTTAAAGGAGGGTTGCCACCTGTTAAAAAAATTTGCGAAATTGAATTGATAAACAAAATGATATAGATATAGATATTAAATTAAATTCCAAATTTTTGCTTAGATATTCAAAAATAGTACCACTAAATGCTTGCTTGATAATTTCCGCCACCTAACTTTCAAGGTTTTTCCTATATATATACTGTATAACAAATTATACTCCCAACGCTAACAAAATAATTGCTAAATTGATTTAAAAAGTGGATATGTGGATCATCCGGTTCTGTATCAAGTTATTCTCTCTAACTTCAAAGCACTTCCATTTAAAAAGGGTAAAAACCTGGCTGCAGTCGACAATGAGCAAAAATAGTTCAATTGTTTATTACTTTGTCTTTAGGTTTGTGTCTTTTCTAAGCGTACAACGAAAGTTTTGTATCACAGAACCAATCTGAGATTATTGATAAAACAATAGCCCGGTTGGGTGAACAGCCAAGACGTTTACTACTTAAGTGTGACAAAACAAAATCAAGTAATACATATATTTAGCATAAATGAATATACCAGCATAAAAAATCTGCAATCAATACAATACTCATAATGTTCAATACGTCCACATATTTATACATACCTATGTATATAATTTAAGAGAAGATATTTCGCTGCAAAGCAATGATTATAAATTATTAGTTTACCTTACAAAATTGCGGAGGAATATTAAAGAGAATACGGAAAAAAGTTTATTTTTTTACATTTTTTATTTTGAATAACGTCTGGTTTACAGGTATATAGAGCTATGAATTTAAAAAATAAATCAGGGTTTAGTTGAGATATTCGCTTTTGACCACTATGTTTTGTACATTNAGAGAATACGGAAAAAAGTTTATTTTTTTACATTTTTTATTTTGAATAACGTCTGGTTTACAGGTATATAGAGCTATGAATTTAAAAAATAAATCAGGGTTTAGTTGAGATATTCGCTTTTGACCACTATGTTTTGTACATTTCCCAGAACTGCAAAGCTTTTGACTGCATTCAACTGGGAGTGGCCCGCGTGCGCTGGGTTTGGGTCCCGCCACGTTGGAACCCTGCCCAATGAAAAAAACACATGCCTCGGATGATACCCCCTTCTTTTGATGAAGACCACGGCAAACATAGGAGGGACTATGCTTTTAGGGTATGCACTTGGAACATCCGAACCCTTAATCGGGATGGTGCCTCTGCCCGGCTGGTTGATGTCCTAGGTAAAATAAAGGCTGACATCACCGCAATCCACGAAATGCGATGGACGGGGCGAGGAAGGTAAGCGTAGAGCCCTGCGACGTCTACTACAGTTGCCACGTAAAGGAGTGCAATTCGGTGTTGGATTTGTGGTGTTCACTCCAGTGGACGAAAGTCTAGCCACAATCCGCACCAAAGCGAGATTCTTCAACATCTCATTCATATGTGCATCCAAGGCTCTCTTAGCTTAGAGCGTACATATTTGCTGAGGGTGATCGACTTCTCCGGGCCCGAAACTTGGCAGTATGTATTACTGGATTATAGCAGACCCATCAAGCTACATGGATGTCTCCACATCTAAAAACGGGAAACCAAATCGAGCATGTTGTGACAGACGCAAGGCATGCTTCCATGTTTTAGATGTACATACGTACACTCCGAGGGCCAAACATCGACTCGCACTACTATACTGATGCATCCAATATACGACCCAACCTCGGANCACTCTTCAACAAACCGACTTGCGCGATCAGTGGAACCACATTTCCCGCTCATTACTGGTACGATGAGAAGTGTGAGAAAATGCTTGAAATTCTGGCCGACAGAAAAAACACCCGAAATTTTTAGCAAAGAGTTGAGCGACTTATAAAAGGTTTTAAGACTCTTGTAGGAACAACCATGCCGACCTAGTGACCGATGTCCAGAACGGACTCAGATTATGGAGGGAACACTTTTCGACCCTTTTGAAT